TTTAGTTTCTGTTTTTGAGACAGAGTTTCCCTTTGTTGCCCAGGCTGGAGTGTGATGGCACTATCTCGGCTCACTGCTACCTCCGCTTCCCAGGTTCAAGCGATTCTCCTGCCTCAGCCTCCTGAGTAGCTGGGATTACAGACATGCGCCACCACACCCAGCTAATTTTCTATTTTTAGTAGAGATGGGGTTTCTCCGTGTTGGTCAAGCTGGTCTTGAACTCCCGACCTCAGGTGATCTGCCCACCTCAGCCTCCCAAAGTGCTGGGATTACAGGCATGAGCCACTGTGCCTGGCCAGTATTTTCTTTTACTTTACGAAAATTCCAGCACATGTCCTCTCTACTGATGCCCATTTGAACAAATACGTGGCTTCAGGTTACCTCATTTTAATTCTCCCCTATAGTCTACCAGGGGTCAGCCAACTACACTCTCTGCATGTTTTTGTAAATAAAGTTTTGTTGGAACACAGCTGTGCTCTTTTCTTTTCTCTGAGACAGGGTCTCACTCTGTCACCCAGACTGGGGTACAGTAGTGCAATCACAGTTCACTGCAGCCTTGAACTCCTCAGCTCAGGTGCTGCTCCCAACGCAGCCTCCCAGGGAGCACAGAAAACAGGTGCCATCCTCACATTCAGCTTATTCTTGTAATTTTTGTACAGATGGGGTCTTGCCATGTTGCCTAGGCTTGTCTTGAACTCCTGGCCTCAAACAATCTGTCTGCCCTGGCCTCCCAAAGTGCTGGGATTATAGGCATGAGCCAACAGGCCCAACCCATGTTCAACGCCAAGTACAGTCACACAACACATAAAAGTGCTTGGGTCAAAGACAGGCCATACATATGACAGCGATCCCATAAGAGTTTATACTGCATTTTCACTAGAGCTCTGTGAGGTCTGGATATGTTTAGAACCACAGATACTTCCCACTAGGTGACAGCTGCCTGCAGCATTCCGTGCAGTCACACGCTCTGTGGGTGTGCAGCCTGGGAGCAGCAGGCTCTACCACCCAGCCTAGGTATCCAGCAGGCTGCATCATCTAGTGGTAGGAAGACACACGCTAGGATGTTCACACAATGACAAAATCTCCTAACAACACATTTCTCAGGCTGCATCCCCGTTGTTAAGCGAGGTGTGGTTGTCTGGTCAATGGCTGACTTCGTGCAACATCTGCAGAGCTGAGTGTGTGCAACACAGACCATAAGGCGGGCAACTCCGAAAACAGTTACTATCCAGCCCTTTAGAGAAGGACTTGCTCACCTATTTTATATGACTGGATTGTCGAGCTGTTCTTTCTCCTTAGCAAGGATATTTCCAATGGTTCTCTCAACTGTATATTTCCTTGTGAACTTCCCGATCTCTTCCTATACCCCTGACTGGCCGTATTCTTCAATTCCCACCTGGATCTTCAAGTGACCATTCCCAGATAAGGGGAAATGGGGCGAGGCTGCGATGTGGGTACAGGCAGTAGTCCTGTTCTCCTCCCCAAACGTCCAGGCTGCCCTGGCTTACCATCAAAGCTGCCGTGTTCCGTGGCGTGTTGCAGCAGGAGTTTATGCGTGCGCAGCGAAGGCTGGAAGACAAACACCCCGCTATTGAAGCAATCCGGCCATCCCGGGTCCGGGGCTGCAGAAAACTCTCCCCGGTCAAACAGCTCATCGACATTGGACAGCACCTGGTGAAGCAAAACACGGAGAACCTGCTGCAATGCTTCTTTTTTTTTTTTTAAGCGGAGTTTCGCTCTGTTGCCCAGGCTGGAGTGCAGTGGTGTGGTGTTGGCTCACTGCAGCCTCCACCTTCCCGGTTCAAGCAATGCCCCCACTTCAGCCTCTTGAGTAGCTGGGATTACAGGCACCTACCACCACGCCCAGCTAATTTTTGTATTTTTACTAGAGACAGGGTTTCACCATGTTGGCCAGGCTGGTGTCAAACTCCTGGCATCAAGTGATCTGACCACCTCGACTTCCCAAAGTGCTGGGATTACAGGCACGAGCCACTGTGCCTGGCCAATGCTTCTTTCTGCAAAGGCAGATTGAGTTTACAAAATAATACAGTAGGAACTTTAGGATGGGCCTGGAAATGCTTGCTGGTTGGAAACCTGCGTCCAGTTTTTTTTTTTTTTTTTTTTTTTTTTTTTTTTTTGAGTGACTCTTAAGACTTTCCCACTTACGCTCAAAGGAGAAACATTTGTGAGAAAGACTGTTCTGTGGTTGATTTCAAGTGGTTGATGCAACACTGTCTAAAATTATTTCCTTAAGGTTCTTAAAATCCTCCATGAAATTCTCTTAATTGTATATCCTCAACACACTAGCAAATGTCAGCAATGACATTACAGAAACTCATAAGCAGTGAGGTTTGGAAGTCAACATAATGTAATTAATTGCCTCATAGAGCTTGACAATTAATTTCAGTTCTTTTTAACCCAGTCGTCCCTAAGATTTTTGGCAACAGGGACCAGTTTTCTGGAAGACAATGGTGGTGGGAGATGGTTCCAGGATGATTCAAGCACATGACATTGATTGTGCACTTTATTTCCATTACGATTGCACTGTAATACATAATGAAATAATTCTACAACTCAACATCATGTAGAATTGGTGGGAGCCCTGAGCTTATTTTCCTGTGAGTAGAAAGTCCCATCTGGGGGTGATGGGAGACAGTGACAGATCATCAGGCCTTAGATTCTCATAAGGTGCGTGCAACTCAGATCCCTCACATGCGCAGTTCACAATAGGCTTCGCATCTCTATGAGAATCTAATGCCGCTGTTGATCTGACAGGAGGCGGAACTCAGGTGGTGATGCCAGTGATGGGAGTGACTGTAAATACAGACGAAGCTTCGCTCGCCTGCCCATCACTCAGCTCCTGTTGCGTGGCTTGGTTTCTAGCAGACTGATGCCTGTCTGTGGCCCCAAAGGTTGGGGAACCCCTGCTTTTAACATATACGAATTTTCTAAATTATGCAACACTATTCTGATTATCATTCTTGCTTTCTTCTTTCTCCAGACCTGGTTTTACTTAACCAAGACAATCCAGAACTGAATTCTAACACTCCAACTTCATTTTCCATTTTGATTTTCCAATGGCTGTTTTTGAAAGTGCCCACCATGGGTTTCTACACTGTGTAAGTCACTAGCCCAGATAGCAGTTAGGAGATGCCACAGCTTAAAGGGCCCAGTGTACCAGTCCAGTCAGGACCACATAATTCAATATACAATCATGGCGACAGGTTTTTTCTTTTTTCTTGCTATGTTGCCACGGCTGGAGTGCAGTCACATGATCTCGGCTCACTGCAACCTCTACCTCCCAAGTTCAAGCGATTCTCATGCCTCAGCCTCCCAAGTAGCTGGGATTACAGGTATGCATCAGTCCACCCGGCTAATTTTTGTATTTTTTGTAGAGACAGGGCTTGGCCATGTTGCCCAGACTGTTCTCAAACTCCTGGCCTCAAGTGATCTGCCTACCTCAGCCTCCCAAAGTGCCAGGATGGCAGGCATGAGCCACTGGACCCAGCCACAAGTTTTTTTTTTTCCTAATGGTTCTATTTTGTGTAAAATATTGTGGTCATAATTCATTCCTGGGGTAGGAACATGTCTTCCAACCCCTCATTCTCTTCAGCAGGGTCTACCACAGTGCTAGGGGTATGTTATGTCTGATTGTAATAGACTGAACACTGTGTTAGAAATAGAAATGCACACGACCTTCACAGACATCTGCCAGTGAGAGCTGACAGCCTGGCCAGCATATTGAAACCCTGTCTCTACAAAAATACAGAAATTAGCCGGGCATGATGGCGGGTGCCTGTCATCGCAACTACTCAGGAGGCTGAGGCGGGAAAATCACATGAACCGGGGAGACGGAGGTTGCTGTGAGCCAAGATTGCGCCAATGCTCTCCAGCCTGGGTGACAGAGCGATTCACCATCTCAAAAAAAAAAAAAAGAAGAGTTGACAGCCTGCTTAAGGATGGAGAGATGAGGTCTTGGAGGTTTCTTATCAAGTAGGGAAACTTCACTCACCAGAGTGTCTGCATCCAGGAAGACACACTTGCTGTAGTGAGTGAGAGTCCAACAGTGAAGCTTGGTGAGGGTGACCCCAAGCTCAGGTCTCTTCAGAAAGGCCAGGTGGATGTAGTCCGCACTATCAATTAGATTCACTTCAATTATTTCATCGAACACCTTGGAGAGGATGGCCCTGGAACAGACATGTGCCAAATAGGAGGACAGTGGGTGAATATTTAGCATAGAACTGCCTCTTCCTTTGGGAGGGTGCTGTTTTGCTGCTCACAAACATGGAACAGAGAGAATTCCCCACTGGCCTCCCTGCGGTCTCCATGTTCAGAGCTCATTTCCATGGATGGCTCATACTTGAACGCAAATGTCAATAGTGTGAAATGCCACCGTACTGGAAGAATCAACATACTACTTTAGCAATGCCCCTGAGCTAAATGACTGAAGCTTTAGGGGTGCATAGAAACCACCACAATTTGTAGGACATTTTGAAACGATTTAAGTATTTTTGAACATGCTTCTTTGATAGCCAGTGTTATATTTTTCAATCAACACAAAGCATAATGATTACTCTAAGTTCAATATTTTCATATTCATATATTTAAAGTCATGCAAGGCCTGGCATGCAGTGGCTAGTGCCTATAATTCTAGCACCTTCAGAGGCTGAGGTGGGCGGATCACTTGAAGTCAGGAGTTGGAGACCAGACGGGCCAGCATGGCGAAACCCCGTCTGTACTAAAAATACAAAAATTAGCCAGGCGTGGTGGCGTATGCCTGTAGTCCCAGCTACTTGGGAGGCTGAGGCACAAGAATTGCTTGAACCTGGGAGGCAGGGCTTTTGGTGAGCCAAGATCACGCCATTGCACTCCAGCCTGGGAAATAGAGCAAGACTCTGTCTCAAA